GAGCATATTTCCTAAAAGGCTTTCTCTAGCAGTAACCTAAGCCCATCAAGATAGGAGGACAGCGCCGACCTAGCTCGTATTAAAGGGAATAAATTTCGAAGACCGGAAACATCGGATCAACTCGAAGGATAAGAGAGAATTTCTATATTCTTCGGAGAATAAAAGATATTTTCATATCGCAAATATGAAAATATTCACCAAAGGCAAAAAGGGAAAGGAGTTCGAAGCAACCGACCTCCTATCCCTATAAATAAGAAGACCTCGAAGCCAAGAAGATCAACTCATACAATCTAGAGAGCAGCAGAGCTACAACCAGAGACTCCAACGCTTTCTAGTTTACTTTGCAAACACCTTTTCACTTCGGCATAACCTCTCGGTTATACCTTTTCTTATTAATTGCTTCGCTTACTTGTTATTAATAAAAAGATCTTATTCTCTGAAACCCACAACTATTAATCAAACTCTAGTGGTGTTTTTCTGGTTCAACAGTTGGCGCCATCTGTGAGGACTAGGAGAATAAATTCTTGAGAAACTAGCAAGAGAAAAGCCAAAGCGATGAGTCTCCCGATCGACAACAGCGATCTCATCCGCAACAACGATGACACCACCACGCACACCGAGACACCTGCTCTCGGCGAGCACATCAACTCGACTACCGCGAATTCACCCAGAGGAGCACCCCAGCTCCTATCCTCGCCTCCGACCTTGCAGCATTCCAGGCTTGGAAGGCGACTCCGATTGTCTCATCTCAATCCCAAAATCTAAATCTGTATATCTTAATCTATCCCTTTTAGATCTTAGCCATAACAATTTCAGTGGGCCGATCCCTAGGTCTATGTCCAAATTAGTCTCACTCTCGATTCTTGATCTCTCTTACAATAAGTTGGAAGGTCAAGTACTATCTTCGTTGACGCTTTCTCATGATTCTTTCAATAGCCTTGAGAAATCGGTCGAAGTTATCTTCAATGTATTTCTTGGATCGATATGTAACTTAAGATCATTAGGCGTCTTAGATTTGTCAAACAACCATCTCAGTGGTTCCATTCCTTCATGTTTGAAGAACTCCACGGCTTCTCTTAGATATCTATATCTAGGAAATAACAACATCACTGGATCTCTTCCAGATATTTTCATCAATGCTACCAAGTTACGAACACTAGATGTTAGCCGCAACCACTTAGTGGGGAAGCTTCCAACATCTTTATTCCATTGCCATAATATGGAATTTCTGAGTTTGAGAGGAAACAACTTTCAAGGACACGTTTCCGTTTTGGCTGAAATTTTTGGGATCATTACGTGTTTTGTTGCTCGGATCAAATGCATTTTACGGTCCAATCTATAGCCGTCTACATATTCTGGGTTTGCAGCTCTTCGAGTCAATGATATATCGCATAATAGCTTCAATGGAACATTGCCTCAAGATTGTTTTGTGAACTGGCTTGAAATGTCATTGGTGAGGAAAACTGAAACCGAATACGATTTGGTTTACATGGTCGACAAATCTAACGACTATAAAATTTCGATGGATATGATTTATAAAGGTGTAGAAACAGAGTTTCCACGGATCTTTCTTGGCTACAAAGCCATCGATTTTCCTGGGAATAATTTCAAAGGAAGGATCCCTAAATCCATTGATTTGTTGAAGGACTTGCGTTTTCTCAACTTGTTAGGTAATGCATTCACAGGTAATATCCCATCATCATTGGCAAATATCACAAATCTGGAGGCACTAGACCTCTCTCGCAATAAACTTTCGGGTCATATTCCTCTCGAGCTTGGCAATCTCTCCTTCTTGTCATATTTGAACTTTTCCGACAACCTTTTAGAAGGTCCAGTGCCACGAGGCACACAGTTTCAAAGGCAAAACTGTTCTTCATACTAGGAAAATCTCGGACTCATTGGTCTCGAGGACATCTGTGGAAAAATCCATGTTCCGGATGCAACATCACCACTATCCAAAAAATTTGTGTCTGAGCCGGAAGAAGTGTTTAGATGGATAGCAGCTGCGATAGCCTATGTACCTGGTGTGTTCTGTGGGTTGGTGATCAGACATATCTTCATTTCACACAAACACCAATGGTTCATGCAAAGATTCCGAAAGAATTCTCGTGGCACCATAAGTGGTCATTAAGCCCATCTATCTCAGTTTGTTTCTCTAAACGTTTGGTGAGTCAGGTGTTGCGTTTGTAATTTTCGGTTTGACGTTTTTATTTCTATTAATAATTGTTGATGTTGTAATTGTTATGGTCACATGACGATTTTTCTTGTTATTTATTTCTATATTCTGGGTTGCATTTTTTTTTTGTCTGTGAAGTTGGATCTCAACTTCTTGCAGATTTTTTCAAGACACAGAAGTGTTTTGGGTCAGTAGATAGTAAATATATAGTTTAAAACGAGTTTTACATCAAATTAAAGTATTTTGGACTTGCTTTTAACATCTAAGCGAAGCATATAATACAGCATTCTTGCTATGCTTCAGCATTGTGTAGAAAACCAAGTAACAAGAACTCTTCTCTGGCTTTCCCTGAGAAGCATCATAGCTTGTGCTTTCTTGTTTGTAAACGCTTTTGCTCTGATGATACTCACTACTTTGAGCGTTTTTCCTCTGGGTAACGTTCTTTAGCAAATCCTTTTGACCTCTTATTATTAGGAAAGTTAACATTAATGTGTATATTACCTTACTGTTAAATAAATAGATTTTTTATATTAAATATGTAAAGAATTTGCTAACCAAGTTATAGAATTTGTATAAATAAGCCTTTTGGCTAATGTATAAAGATGAGAGAAACTATTATACTATAAAAGTTTCTTCCCAATTTATCATGGTATCAGAGCTAAGATCCAATTCCTATGGGTTTGAGTTTTGCTATTTTCAGAACAATAGCTATATACAAAAAGGCTTTGTTCAATTCTTGACCACCGTGGTTCTATCTTTCATCTTTATATCTATAAGTTTTATTTAATTTTGTTTTATGAAAAAAAAAAGTTGTGCTTTGATTTCTTAAAATTTTCGTTGGTTTTCAAAAGTTTATGTGATGTTATTCCTTTTGGATTCCAATTTTGTTTTACTTATTTTTGATTATTTTATTATAAACCTTTAAAAAAAAATAAAGAAAACACGTTCTTCTTTATTTCGTATGAGAACAATGTTGTTATTATCATTTCATGACCTAGTACAACCAGGTTTCTTATGCTTGCGACTTGGATGCTATTGGTTATAATGAAGACTTCAACGGATATATACTGATCCGGCGGTGATGATGTTCATGTGGACTATGAACATGAATCAATTGATGGGTTCGTTCAGTTTACATGGTGACATGATGACGAGTCAATAGAGATACACAACACTACGATTATGATGTATTTTCCACCGAATCAATTACCTTATAGCGAGGTATAATGCTATTGATGATCTGACCAGTGCCGTGCTTAGGTTCATAAATGGTTGAAGCGAATATAATTTATTAAAAATATCTAAATTTAAATGTGAAAATTTAAATTGATAAATTATATTTTCTTCATTTTACAGAGTGTCATTCTAAAGTTTTGTGTTTTCTAAAATTTTGTGTTTGTTTCACAAAAAGTATTATTTTACATTTTCAATGCAGAATTTTAAATAAAAATTCAGTTTTAACCCTACTAACTAATTTAATATATTATTTAAAAAAACAAATTTATTTAGTGTATTAAAAAAGTTTTTATTAGTTTTCTTTAATTTATGTGAAATGTATAAAAATAACACTTTTTCAAAAGTAAAAGGAGTATATGTTTAATTGTTTATTTTCTGTTTGAGATTTTCTTTTTTTGGTTTTGAAATAAAAATTCAGTTTTAACCCCAGTGAATTAATATATCAGTTAGAAAAAAGTTTATTTAGTGTATTAAAAATGGTAAAATAAAACTTTTATTAGTTTTTAAAAAATTTATGTAAAATATGTTATTTTTTACAAAATAAAAGAAGTATATGTTTAATTGATTTTTTTATTAGAGATTTTCTTTTTTGGTTTCGAAATTGAAAATTTCTACAATGAGACTGATGGTCGAATTCAGGTTCATAGACATAAACATTCTCTCAAATACCACTATGAAACACACCATCTTTAGGTAACCAAGGACCAGGGCCGTGCCTATGTAGAGCTAAAAGAAGCATTCGCCTACGTCAGATAATTTTGTATAAAACTTAAGAAGCTATATTTGTAATTATGTTTATGTAAAATAATTTTATACAAAGTTTAAGAAGCCATATTTGTAATTATGTTTATGCTGTATTTCTTTTAATATCTCTTATATAAATTCAAAACACAATCTATAAATGTATAACTTTTAAAGGTAAGTATTTAAATCCATATCTTAACTTGCTAATTTATTATAAGTTCTAAAAAAACATATTAAATTTGTGTTCTCAATGCTAAATTGATTTTTCTACAGCATGGATAGTTGCCATTTAAACTCACTTCTATTGATTTTGCTTACTGAATTATTTTAAGATATTAAAGGGGTTGAAAAAAATTGCTGCCATTTTATTTTCAATGTTCTATTTATCAACATTTTCATGAGTTTTTTTTATATTTACGTATTTATATTTTTTATAAATTGTGATATATGAAATTTTTTTCTTTTCGTTTTGCCTATGGCCTCAAAACCTTTAGGCACGGCTCTGTCAAGGATACTCAAAATATTTTATATAATCCGTTACCTGAGACAAATGTCTTTTTGCTTATACAGTAGGCACGACTCTGGATCTGACAGTTAGGTATAAATATCATGAAGATCACCTGATGATTTATTCAATCTCATACGTGATATCATGTATGAGCTTGCAGAAGGATATTGAGAGATTTCGAGATGAGGAGATCAACGTGAACATAATTTCTCTTTATTATTAGGAAAGTTAACTTTAATGTATATATTACTTTATTGTTAAATAAGTAGATTATCTATATTAAATATGTAAAAAAATTTGTTAAACAAGTTATAGAATTTGTATAAATAAACCTATTGGCTAATGAATAAAGATGAGAGAAACTATTATACTACAAAGGTTTCTTCCAAATTTACCACTCTCTCTCTCAGCATTTTCTCAGGAACGGCGCGCCACTGAAGAAGGAGACGATGACCCAACACCCTCCGCCGATATCACCATAACTCGAAGAAAGATTCAAACTCTGACAAAATTGAATTTGGATTCTGAATTTAGGAAATTTGAAATCGAATCCCTGTGCAGCAAACAAACAAAAAAGAGAGAAAAAAGGAAGAGATTTTGGACATTGGGTACAGTGGGAAGGCGATGAAACTTGTGCGCAAGGCAAAGGATCGCTCTCACTGTCAAATCATATTCTTTTTTTTTTTTTTTTCTTATCGACTATTAGATATTTACATTAAAAACCCCAAAAATATCCCTTTAGAATCAGATATTTACAATTTACCATTTCAATAGCAAGTTATTAACAATTAGCGAACCATTTAAACGAAAACGGAATAACAAACCAATTTCATTTGATAAAAAAAAATATCAAACGACCAGTAATACCTGTAAGATGTTAAACAGTAGAAAACTTAAATCTTATAAATTTCTGGCTTAATTTTGTAAGCATTAAAATTAATAAAAAGTAAATAAGAGGGTAAATAATGGCTATCGTCCTATGGACCATTATTTACAATGCCGCAGGGGAGACGAAAGAATGAGCCAATAATGGTTTTGAGACAAGTGGAACGATGCATTAATCACAGAAGACTTGAAAAATCAACAGAGACGACTTGAGAAACATAAGGCTCTATAAAGGAACTGCATTAGCACTACACAACTTACTACTTACCACAAACACTTAAAAGAGAAAAGAAAAGGATACGTATATGATGATTCCGAGCCAATATTTTCTCTTCTTCTTTGCTTGCCTTATACTATACACTCTTGCCTCCCCTACTCTCCAAAGGGATGCACTTTTGGAGTTCAAAAATGAATTTCCCATCAATGCTCTAAGTTCATGGAACACGAGCAGTGATTGCTGTTCTTGGCAAGGTGTCACATGTGATGCTAAATCCGGTGAGGTGATATCTCTTGTTCTTGACAACATTCCTCTCAATAGCTCATTGAAATCAAACAGTAGCCTTTTTAAACTCCAACATCTTAGTCACCTAACCCTTTCCGACTGCAATCTCATAGGAGAGATCCCTTCTTCACTAGAAAACCTGCCTTGCCTCACGTATTTAGACCTTTCTAGAAATGTCTGGTTAGGTGAAATTCCTCCTTCATTAGGAAACCTGTCTAGCCTCACCCATTTAGATCTTTCTGATAATTATTTGAAAGGTGAACTTCCACCTTCACTAGGAAACCTTAAGCAGTTAAGCTACTTGAGTCTTGGGCCCATTGCTTTTGATATCTCTTTGAAATCAAACAATTTCTTTCCTAAATTCACCTTCTTCGTCACCTAAGCCTTGTCGGTTACAATCTCAGAGCAATTCCTTCTTCACTAGGAAACTTGTCCCACCTCACAGATTTAGATCTTTCTAATAATAATTTTGTAGGTCAAATTCCAACTTCAATCGGAAACCTTAAGCAGCTAAGGGGCTTGAGTTTTAGGGACAATAATCTTAATATCTCTTTGACATCAAACAGTAGCCTTTTTAAACTCCAACATCTTAGTCACCTAGACCTTTCATTTTGCAATCTCATAGGAGAAATTCCTTCTTCACTAGGAAACCTGTCTCACCTCACAGATTTAGATCTTTCTCGTAATCATTTGGTAGGTAAAATCCCACTTTCAATAGGAAACCTTAAGCAGCTAAGCACTTTAAGTATTGGGTCCAACGATCTTATAGGGAAGATTCCATCTTTACTAGGAAACCTGTCTCGTCTCACAAGTCTTGACCTTAGTCAGAATCACTTGATAGGCGAAGTTCCTTCTTCAATAGGCAACCTGAACCAGCTAACACTTCTAAGATTTTCCTCAAACAACTTGAGTGGTAATATTCCTAATTCATTTGCCAATTTCAACAAGCTATCCAGTTTACTCCTCGATGAAAATCAATTCATTAGAATAGATCTCCCTCGTATACTATCAAATGTAACTAGCTTGATTGAATTAGACCTTAGATATAATCACTTCAAATCCAAATTTCCTTCTAACATGAGTCGACTCCACAGATTGAATAGAATTGATGTGAATGGAAATTCATTTTTTGGGAATTTTCCTACTTCCCTGTTCACAATTCCTTCCTTATACGAGGTTTTTTTGGAGGGAAACCAATTTGAGGGACCTTTAGAGTTTGGAAATACATCATCATCGTCTATAAATACTATAAACCTTGCTTACAACAACCTTTATGGACCAATCCCAGAATCTATATCTGGATTTCTCAATCTCTGGGTTTTAGATCTAAGCCATAACAGTTTCATTGGACCAATCCCTAGGTCTATGTCCAAATTAGTCTCACTCTCTACTTTTGATCTTTCTTACAATAAGTTGGAAGGTCAAGTACCGAGTTTCTTATGGAGACTATCTTCATTAAAGCTTTCTCATAATTCATTCACTAGCCTTGAGAAATCAGACCAAGTTGTCTTCGATGAGAGTTACTTTGAAACTCACTTTGATCTTGGTTCAAATTCACTCCAAGGAGTATTTCCTCAATGGATCTGTAAGGTCAGATCACTAGAATTCTTAGACTTGTCAAACAACCATCTCAGTGGTTCCATTCCTTCGTGTTTGAAGAACTCCACGCCTTCCTTAAGATATCTAAATCTAAGAAACAACAGCTTCAGCAGAATTCTTCCAGATATCTTTATCAGTGCTACCGATTTACAGTCATTAGACGTTAGCCACAACAAGTTAGTCGGGAAGCTTCCAAGATCTTTGATCAGTTGCAAGCAGATGGAATTTCTGAATTTGAAAGGAAACAAGTTCAAGGACACGTTTCCGTCTTGGCTGGAATCTTTGGGATTAAGTGTTCTGTTGCTTGGGTCAAATGCGTTTTATGGTCCTATCTACAACCCCTCTACATATTTTGGGTTTCCATCTCTCAGAGTCATTGACATATCGCATAACAGCTTCAATGGAACATTGCCTCAAGATTATTTTTTGACCTGGCTTGAAATGTCATCGGGGTGGCTATATGAAAACAGATCGGTTGTGCATAGCGGAGATAAAACATATGTGGAATATCTATTATACATGGGCGATGATTCTATAGATATGATTTATAAAGGTGTAGAAACAGAGTTTTCACGGATCTTACTTGCCTACAAAGCCATCGATTTTTCTGGAAATAAATTCAAAGGAGGGATCCCTAAATCCATTGGCTTGTTGAAGGGCTTGTATCTTCTCAACTTGTCAGGTAATGCATTCACTGGCAATATCCCATCATCTTTGGCAAATATCACAAATCTGGAGGCATTAGACCTCTCTCGCAATAAGCTTTCAGGTCATATTCCTGGTGATCTTGGCAACCTCTCCTTCCTGTCATACTTGGACTTTTCCCACAACCTTTTGGAAGGTCCAGTGCCACGAGGCACACAGTTCCAAACGCAGAATTGTTCTTCATACGAGGACAATCTCGGACTCATTGGTCTCGAGGAAAACTGTGGAAGAATCCATGTTCCTGATGCAACAGCACCACAATCCGAAGATTTCTCGTCTGAGCCGGAAGAAGTGTTGAACTGGATTGCAGCTGCGATAGCCTATGTACCTGGTGTGTTCTGTGGACTGGTGATCGGACATATCTTCATTTCACACAAACACCAATGGTTCATGCAAAGGTCTCGCCAAAACAATCCTCGTGGCACCATAAGTCATGCTCATTAAGCCCATCTATCTCAATTTTAACGTTTGGTGAGTCTGTATACTCCAATAATACTTAGTTCGTCAAGTGTTGTGTTTGTAATTTTCGGTTTTGACTTTTTTCTTTGTATTAAACATTGCCGGTGTTGTAATTGTTTTGGTCTTTTCGTAATGGAAAATTTTGCACCGCATGACGACTTTTTAGTTTTCGTCGCTTTAATAGAAATAAAAACGTCAGATTATTCTAGATTTCTTACATATTCTATTTCTGCGGCTTGTCTTTCAAACTACGATTTATGCAGTGTTTAAGAGAGAGGAATGCTTAAGAAAAACGTTCGAAGTATTCCAACTTCATAGGCTCTGTTTTTCTGGTTTCTGTTTTTAGTTGCTTCCTGACTACGTCATCTATCAGACCTTATAATAATACTTGAGGATCTAAATGCTTTGATAAGGTCTGGCAAAATTGTCTACTGAAAAAGAAAGAAAGACATGAAAACCAAAGATCGGTGTTCTAATACTGTGAGGTTTTGATTTTAATGGAGTCAAAGTGTTGACTTCCCTCATCACTAGAAGAAAACACATGAAGGGTAGATTTTAACCTCAAACGTCAATTTTGCTTTGCATTTCGTTTCTTGTTAGTAAAACAGAGCACTATTAGACGGCACAAACCAGATTAAAGAAAAATAGAAACTCATTTAATATTCTAAAAGGACTTTATGAAGTCGATATCAAGAAATAAACTTCTTTCCATGTGTATCTGATATATGTTGGTAAACGTTTTTTCTCTGATAACATTAAAAAACTTTCACTCCTCGCCACAGTAACAAAAAAAAAAATTATTTTTTACTGTTTTTAGTGCTGTCTCCTAGATATTGGAATTTCAAATTCTAAATTCAGAATTTAGGAGATGTGAAATCAGACCCCTTTGCTCGCCCTCACATCAAAGGAAATTTCTAAGAAGAGAAGAATGTCAAATCATTATGTCGCCATGTTTTTTAGATATTTTTAAACGTTTTTGGCCCATTCTCTGTAACCCCTATATATTATTTTTTCTTATTATCAGATATTCACCAATTTACATTGAAAAAAAAAAAAGAGATCGCATAAGCACTGCACAACTTACTACAAACACTTCAAAAAAAGAAAAAAAGGAAATGATGAATCCAGTCCAATCTTATTTCTTCTTTTTTGCTTCCCTTATTGTATACACTCTTGCTTCTCCTACGCTCCAAAAGGATATACTTTTGGAATTCAAAAATGAATTTATGTTCATTTCACTGGATCCAGATCCTGATGACGATTTCAGTTTATGGAACACGAGCATTAGTGATTACTGTTCTTGGAGAGGTGTCAAATGCGATGCTAAATCCGGTGAGGTGATATCTCTTGTTCTTGATTTCATCTTGCTCAATAGGCCTTTGAAATCAAACAGTAGCCTTTTTAAATTGCAACATCTTAGTCACCTAAGCCTTTCCGCTTGCGATCTGAGAGGAGAAATTATTTCTTCACTAGGAAACCTGCCTCACCTCACATATTTAGATCTTTCTAATAATCACTTGGTAGGTGAAATTCCTTCTTCACTAGGAAACCTGTCTCACCTCACATATTTAGATCTTTCTAATAATCATTTGATAGGTGAAGTTCCGTCTTCAATCGGCAGCCTGAACCAGTTAACATTCCTGAGCTTTTCCTCAAACAACTTGAGTGGTAACATTCCTATTTCATTTGCCAATTTCAACAAGTTGTCCAATTTACTCCTCTATCAAAACAAATTCAGCTATATAGATTTCCCTCGTATACTACCAAATTTAACCAGCTTGTTCCAATTAGACCTTGGCTATAATCATTTCAAATCCAACTTCAAATCCACATTTCTTACTGACATGAATGGACTCCACAAATTGGAGAAAATTGATGTGACTGGAAACTCATTTTTTGGGAATTTCCCTACTTTCTTGTTCACGATTCCTTCATTAAAAATCATATATTTGGAGGGAAACCAATTTGAAGGGGCTATAGAGTTTGAGAATACATCATCATCGTCAATACTTTCTATAAACCTTGCTCATAACAATTTTTGTGGACCAATCCCAGAATCTATATCTGGATTTCTCAATCTCCAGGATTTATATCTTAGCCATAACATTTTCAGTGGGCCAATCCCTAGGTCTATGTCCAAATTAGTCTCACTCTCTGATCTTGATCTCTCTTACAATAAGTTGGAAGGTCAAGTACCGAGTTTCTTATGGAGATTATATTCGTTGAAGCTTTCGCATAACTCTTTCACCAATCTCGAGAAATCAGACCAAGTTGTCTTCGATGAGAGTCACATTGCCACTCACTTTGATCTTAGTTCAAATTTACTCGAAGAAGTAGTTCCTAGATTGATCTGTAAGTCAAGATCAATAGGCTACTTAGACATGTCAAACAACCATCTTACCGGTTCCATTCCTTCATGTTTGAAGAATTCCGTGGCTTCTTTTGGATATCTAAACCTAAGAAACAACAACATCAGCGGATCTCTTCCAGATATCTTTGTCAATGCTACACAGTTAGTATCATTAGACGTGAGCCACAACCAGCTGGTAGGGAAGCTTCCAAAATCTTTGATCAATTGCAGCACGTTGGAATTTCTGAATTTGAAAGGAAACAAGATCAAAGACATGTTTCCGTCTTGGCTGAAATCTTTGGGATCACTACAAGTTCTATTGCTCGGATCAAATGCGTTTTATGGTCCAATCTATCACCCATCTTCACATTTGGGGTTTCCATCTCTACGAGTCATTGACATATCGCATAATAACTTCAACGGAACATTGCCTCAAGATTATTTTGTCAACTGGTTTGAAATGTTGGTGGATGAAACCGAATGGACTGAAACTTCGGTGGAAATGATTTATATGCGCAACGAAATATACGGTTATGAAGATTCGATGAATATGATTTATAAAGGTGTAGAAACAGAGTTTCCACGGATCTTACTTGCCTACAAAGCCATCGATTTTTCTGGCAATAAATTCAAAGGAAGGATTCCTAAATCCATTGGCTTGTTGAAGGGGTTGCGTCTTCTCAACTTGTCAGGTAATGCATTCACTGGCAATATCCCATCTGCTTTGGCAAATATAGCAAATCTCGAGGCACTAGACCTCTCTCGCAATAAGCTTTCGGGTCAAATTCCTCGCGATCTTGGCAATCTCTCCTTCTTGTCATATTTGGACTTTTCCCACAATCTTTTAGAAGGTACAGTGCCACGAGGCACACAGTTCCAAACGCAGAATTGTGCTTCATACCAGGACAACCTCAGACTCATTGGTCTTGAGGAAATCTGTGGAAAAAGCTATGTTCAGGAGGCAACAGCACAGCAACCCCAAGAGTTTTCGTCTGAGCCTGAAGAAGTGTTGATCAACTGGATAGCAGCTGCAATAGCATATGCACCTGGTGTGTTCTGTGGATTGGTGATTGGACATATCTTCATGTCACACAAACATAAATGGTTTATTAAAAGATTTCGCCGAAACAATCCCCGTTGCACCAGAAGTGCTCATTAAGCCCATCTATCTCAGTTTTGTTTCTTAAATGTTTGGCAAGTCTGTAGTCCAATACTTGGTTCGTCAAGTCTTGTGTTTGTAATTTTATGTTTGACTTTTTTTTCGTTCTATATGAAACATTGTTGGTGTGGTAATTGTTATGATCTATTGTAATGGAAAAGTTTTTGCACCACATGACGACTTTTTGGTTTTCATCGCTTTTGTATCATTTGATAGAATTGTTATTTTGTTTCTAAATGCTGGTTAGCATTTATTTGTCTGTGAAGTTGGAACTCAACCTCTTGCTGAATTTATCAGGACATAAAAAATGTTTCTGGTCCATAGACAAGAAATACATAACATAAATCTTATCCAGAGGAGTTTTACATCAAATTATAGTATTTAGAACTTGCTTTTAACATCTAAGCAAAGCATATAATATAACATTCTTCTTTTACATAAAGTAAGAAGAACCCTTTAACTTAACATCTCAAATTTGGATAAGTTCTGAGATTCTTGGCAATGTAGGGAAAAATCATAATCACTTCGAGTTAGGGAAAAATCAGACAAAAAAAAACAAACAAACGTTGTCAAATTTGATATGCAGATTCATCTGTAACTCGGTAACTTCTTCTAAATTCGTTGCTCCCACTGCCTTTCGTCAATTATTTTCCATTTCTGAAGCAACAGAAATAAGAGATCTGATTTCTTGCAAAAATCTGCTTTGATGCTTTAGTTGCTTCCTCACCACGTCATCTATCACCCGTCGTTCACAAACTCCCAACGATCTGCATCAACTTTCCGAAAACCCTGAAACGAATAAATGCACTTACGTTACTCTGTCTCTTAGGCACATCGCACATTCATGAATCAGGCACGTCTGCCAAAAATTTTCTTTTTGATGAACCTAATTCTCACTATATTGCCATTTACAAATGTAAATAGAGTCTTCAAGATGTGACTAATGTTATCTTTAAGTGTTAAACAAAACATGTTTCTTCATTCTTCATATCCAATTCATCATCTAACCACCAGATTGGCAGAGAAATCTTCCAACTCTCACAATTTTTTTTTCTTTGAATTTTGAATTATGAATTCGGAAACTCGGAAATATGAAATGAACTCCCATAAAGAGAAAAAGAAAAGACTTTGGAAGTCAAAGGCATTCCTCGGTGTAAGGACAAGCAGCTAATGACCTCACTTGGCATTATAAGTTTTGGGATTCCAAATCCTCAAATTCTCAACAATCCAAAACTAGCAAAAAGGATCTTTCTCTAGGAACATCTGTGAGTTTTGGCAAAAGGAAAAATTTGACAATAAATAAAATTTGAGAAGTAAATTTTGACAAAAAAATGTTTGGGAAAAAATTTTAATACAATTTTTTTTTCTGTTTCATTAAAATAAAATAATCATTTAAAAATTAGTGCTCTAAAATACCATTAAACGAAATTTTTGCTCCAAAATAAATATAACGTAAACAATAAAAATGAATTTTAAGGGTTTAAAATTAAATATTTAGGTTTGAGTTTAATGTATACTTTTTAGAGTTTATGGTTTTGTTTTGAAGGTTTAAAATTAAGTTTTGGTTTTGTGTTATTTTTGAAAAAAAAATATCATTTTAGTAGTATTTTTGGAATAGTGGTATTTTAGAATTTTTGAGAACTACTCTTTAAATTATTTATTTATGGTGTATTGAAAATAAATTAGATAATATTATTTGATAACTTAAAAAAACTTGATCCGATGTCCATTTTTAAAAATTGCATAACAAACAAAAAACACTTAAAATTCATAGATAACAAATATTACTACAATTAAGCCAATGGAACGATTCATCCAATTTAGAAGACTTGAAAATTCAACAAGTTGACTTAAGCCAAAGCTGTATAAAAGGGACGGCATAAGCATTACACAGCTTACTACTGACCACAAACACTTTAAAAAAAAAAAAAAAAAAGGATGCACTTTTCTCTTCTTCTTTGCTTCCTTTATTTTATACACTCTTGCTTCCTCTACTCTCCAAAGGGGTGCACTTTTGGAGTTCAAAAACGAATTTTCGATCAATGCATCAGACCCAGATGTTGTGAATGAATTAAGTTCATGGAACACGAGCAGCATTGATTACTGTTCTTGGAGAAGTGTCCCTTGCGATGCTAAATCCGGTGAGGTGATATCTCTTGTTCTTCAATACTACTCTCTCAACGGCTCTTTGAAATCAAACAGTAGCCTTTTTAAACTCCAACATCTTCATCACCTAACCCTTTCTGGTTGCTTTCTGAGAGGAGAGATCCCTTATTCACTAGGAAACCTGTCTCACCTCATGGAGCTAGATCTTTCTGGAAATTACTTGATAGGTGAAATTCCTTCTTCACTAAGCAAGCTTGAGCAGCTAGGGGTCTTGTATCTTGGGTCCAACAATCTTATAGGAAAAATTCCATCTTCACTAGGAAACTTGTCTCGTCTCACAGATCTTGAGCTTGGTGGGAATCACTTGATAGGTGAAGTTCCATCTTCAATAGGCAACCTGAACCAACTAACATCCCTGAGCTTTTCCTCAAACAACTTGAGTGGTAACATTCCTATTTCATTTGCCAATCTCAACAAGTTATACTTGTTATTCCTTAATCGAAATCAATTCAGCAATGTAGATTTCCTTCATATACTACCAAATTTAACCAGCTTATCCTACGTAAGCCTTAGCAATAATCACTTCAAATCTACATTTCCTTGTGACGTGAGTAGAGTGACATATCTTGATTTGAGTGGCAACTCATTTTTTGGGAAAATTCCTGCTTCCTTGTTCAACATTCCTTCGTTACAAACGGTTTCTTTGGCTGAAAACCAATTTGAGGGACCTTTAGAGTTTGGAAATACACCTTCATCATTTATATACTCTATAAACCTTGCTCATAACAACTTTCATGAACCAATCCCAGAATCTATATCTGGATTTCTCAATCTCCCGAATTTAAATCTTAGCCATAACAGTTTCATTGGCTCAGTCCCTAGGTCTATGTCCAAGTTAGTCACACTCTCTAAACTTGATCTCTCTTACAATATGTTGGAAGGTCAAGTACCGAGTTTCTTATGGAAAATACGTTCGTTCAAGCTTTCTCATAATTCTTTCACCAGCTTCGAGAAATCAGACGAAGTTGTCTTCGATGGAACTCGCTTTGATCTTAGTTCAAATTCACTCCAAGGAGTATTTCCTCGATTGATCTGTAAGTTAAGATACGCATACTGATAGGGTCAGGTTTTACCCAAATAAAACTACTGCAAGTGCACAGCAAAGGCAGTTGTAGTACAAGGGGTTATCGAATCCCAAGGGAGTATGTAAACCACACTAGCGATTATAGATTCAGATTAAGCTAAGCGATAAATAATGAATGTAATGCAAAACAGTAAAATAAATGCAAGAGGGCGTTTTTATGCTTGTTCTTAAAGTTCAGAAGGCTAAAGGCGCTAAGTCAGGACAGTTTGCAGGTTGAATCTGAGAGTGTAGAATGCATGCAATCAGGAATGAATTAAAACCGTCTTGAACATGAATCGCAAAGATATAACTAATCAATTCTCATTGCAGAAGTTATCTATGTCTAAGTCACAGAGTTTCAAATCTCTTTGCAAATCCTAACAACCTAAACATGCAGTAATGATCAGGTTCAATTGTTCACAAAACTCCTAAGCCAAATCTCTTTGTACTAGGGCGTTTTGCTCATCTAATACTAGTTCAGGTGATTAATAATGCTCTCACATATATCAAAAACCTAAGATTTCGAAATCCAGATGATATGTCTAAGAAATCGATATGAATGCAAGCACATATGAAGAACCAATGAATTTCCTATAAGTTTTTAGCAATTCTACAAACTCTTCTTCAACCTTTAAAAAAGCCCTAACTTAACTAACAAACTACTCAGACATGGTGATTTGAGAAAACATCATGAAAAGAATAGATTGCATAAAAGAAATAAGAAGTATAAATAAAGGAGTTCAAAATCTGCTCTGAAGGAGTCTGATTTGTCTCTCCAAAAGCTCTTCTACAAATCTCTCTCCAAAGCTCTCAAAATAATAAGATACAAGATACCTGCCAAAAAATGGCTGAAAAACCTAATATACAAGCTAAAACACGATCTGAGGTCTTTTTGCAAATACTGGAACTTTTGAACCAAACTGCAATTTCTTCCCAATCTTTTAAAAACAGGCCACGACCTCCTTCCTTGGTGGGTGACGAGCGTCACCAGATTGGTGACGAGCGTCACCCATATGCATACTTTTCTTCTTCGAGCTTGGTACTTCGTGGCTTCCATTCAGAATGCTCCAAAAGGTTCCAAAATCTCCAATTATGCTCCAGACATGCTTTAACCTGCAAAGACTCTTCTAGGACTCTAAAAAGACCAAAAAGACTCAATAAAAAGGAATTATATCATGGTTAAAAACCATAAAAACCATGATATATCAACTCCCCCAGACTTAGCTTTTGCTTGCCTCAAGCAAACATCAGACAAAGAATAAGGTCGAGGTTTGAAAACAGGAAACAGTCAGTCAGTCATCAGGAACACCATACTAGTTAGAGTTTTCGAATCCACATACCACATAGTCAACACAAGATCAAATTTCAGTCTAATTATCACAAGCTTAGCAAATCTCTCAAGTCCAATCCAAATCCCTTCAAGAAACCCGAAATTTCCACTGCTAACTCCTTATTTTTATCTAAGTGTGATACTTCATCAAAGTTTTATCATCTTAATCACTTTACAGATTCTTTTCCCTTCCTAACAACTGAACAAAGCAATCTCAACACAGCTCTCCTATTTTCTCTTCCCTTAATCTTTTTCCTTAGGATATTTTCGATTTTTCACTTCTTTTTTTCTCAACTTTTACAGTCTAAGATATGGTGCTACTCAATACTTGTGTTCCTTGTGAGGAGACAGGTTTTTGAATGTGTTCACTACTGTTGTTCCTTGTGAGGAGACAGGGTCATGAATGCCCCATTCTTTGGACTCAATCTTTTAAAAACTACATCTGGGAAGATCAAAGAGAGACTGTATTTTAACCTTATTGTCAGTGCTGAAAGAGAGAATCAAGATCAATAAGAATCAATCACCAAGACAAGAAGTTTAAAGTTCATTAAGGTGGAGCTAACAGCAAATTTTCCAGACTCTCTAAGAACCTAAACCTTCATTGCTAGACTGATCTACCTATGACTTTCAACTTAGTAAGACTTGTAATCAACTACTGTGGCAATGGTTCTTATCAGCAAAAACGTCCTATGGTTAGTTCCAAGAAAAACTGACAGTTTCAAAAAATTTGACTCTATAAAACAGGTTTTTGACTCAACTTTAAGACTCTATAAACATGACACAAAGCACACAACGTCAGTAACCACCTCCCCCAGACTTAAACAACGCTGTCCCCAGTGTTATTAAGCCAAGAGTTGGTCAAAATGAAGCATGAGAACGTGTAAAACCAAGGTGGAAAAATGGTACCTCGCAAAGGACCTGGTGACGAGCGTCACCACTCTGAAACTTCAGAAATCGTCATGTTGGATGTTTAAATGCTATGCCATCATGTGTAATCCGAAGTCAAACTGTAAGAGCACTCAAAACACACATCAAAACATCCAAACAAAGCATAGTCCATGGTCCAACAAGTTCACAAGATATCATCCAAGCAAACTGAACAAAGTGACTCTTTTTTTTTTTTTCGATTTTTCCTTATTTGTTTGAGTTTTTTTTTAGCTATGTAATAGAAAACTAAACTAATATATGAAAAAGAAAACTTACCAGTGGGTTGCCTCCCACTAAGCGCTTGTTTAAAGTCATTAGCTCGATTTTGAATGCTGCTCAGACAGCTGGTGGAACAGAAGGTGGCATTGAATGCCTTGGAGGAGAATGTCTCCTCATCTATGGTGGTTTGTAAGCAGTAGATGTATGAACACTTCCAAGGAAGTGAGGAACATCAGCAGAGTGGGTCGTGACTGTGGGTGGGATACTTCTTTTTCCTGCAGAATCATCAAAAGAAACACCAAGCATTCTACGAGAATCTCGTTGCTTGCATAAGTGTGAAGCAGCTTTTTCACCTTTTAAATTCTTATTGATGAGACTAGGAGGTTTGGAACTGGTTCCAGGAAGTGCATACCTTTGCCTAGTTGCAGGTTTCTGGGTTGTAGACTGTTGAATTTTCGGATTGGCAACATATGATGGACTTGTAGAGCAAATATCACGTCTCTCTTTTGTGTCCAGGTTGGTGACGAGCGTCACCAGGTCAGTGATGCTCGTCACTGACTCTGCAGTTTGAGTTTCTGCAGTTTTCCTGCAATTCAGCTCTGCAAGTGTTGCTTCCATCACATACATGTCTTCCTCCAGCAACTTGGCATTCATTAGAACCTCTTTTTCAAGCCCAGTCATGAAGATATGATCCTCACTGCAATCCTTAAACCCAACAGCTTCTGCAGAGGTTTCAGATATTAGCTCTTCAACAGCCATCTTGCTCACTTGCCCACTTATATCTGATTCATTGACACACTCAGCAATAGTGTCTTCTGAATGCTCCATGACAGTCTCTTCATCTCTAGAAGTTCTTATAGAAAAGGTCTGACCATCAATGGTAGAACTCCCTCTTAACTTATCCATGTCAAAGTTCATGACAACATCACCAAGATCAAGCTCAATGTTCCCCCTTCTAACATCAATGATGGCTCCAGCAGTAGCCAAGAATGGTCTTCCCAGAATAAAAGGATCTTTAGGTTCTTCAGCATATTTCAGAACCACAAAATCTGTAGGAATTATGCAGCCTTCAATGTTAACATGAACATTCTCTAACATGCCTTCTGGGGTCCTTATGGATCGATCTGCTAGGATGAGAGAGATCCCAGCTGGCTTGAAATCAGTCATTCCAAGTCTAGCAGCAATAGAGAAAGGCATCAAGTTAATACTTGACCCTAGATCACATAGAGAGTGTGGAAAACGTCCTGCAGATATTGAGCAATCAAGCACAAAGGTCCCTGGATCAGATAGCTTCTCTGGAACTCTGCTTTGAGTGATGGTATTGACTTGTTCAGAAACAGTCACCTTCTTCTTCTTCTTTGGAACTGTGCCTAAGAGAATTGCACTGATGTCTCTGGTAAGCAATGCTCCTTCCTCAGGACTTACACCATTCACAACCATTCTCTTTACATACCTTCTTAGAGCTGGTGAAAGCTTGACTGCATCAGCAAGTGGGATCTCAAGCATCAGCTTGTCTATCATAGCTTTGCATCTGGCTTCTTCTATCTCTTGTTTAGACTTCCTAGGATGCTTGGGGAATGGTGTTTTGGGTTTATAGACACGTTCCTGGTCATAATTTGCAGTTACAGGCGAAGCAGCTTCGTTTTGGGGTGGGTGACGACCGTCACCAGGGGGGTGACGCTCGTCACTCACCTGTGACAACCCCCGATTCTCTTGTATGTTGGTGACAAGCGTCACTCCTCCTTGGTGACGCTCGTCACTCACCTCTGAGACAGAAAAATTTTCATCTTCAGACTCCATCAGTTGCACGATCTGCTCTGCACTCAACCTCTTTTTCTGCACTGTTTTAAGCTCCTTTTCATTCCTTACTGTGATGGCATTAACCTGATGCTTGGGATTGATGTCAGTCCTTCCAGGAAGGAATCCCTCTTGCCTTTGAACAGCTTCTGCAGTTTGAGCAACCTGCACATCAAGCTTCTTCATGTGAGAGTTCAGACTCGCAATTTTTCCATTCAGGTCTTGATACAGCGAATCTAGCTTGCCATTGAAGTTCACTGTCACCTTCTGCTGTCCTTCAAGTACCTGCTCCAGCATAGCTTCCATTTTATTGTCTTGTGGAGGTGCAGTTTGGTAGGAAGAAGAACCAAAATTCCTGCTGTTTTGGTAAGGTTTCTCAACTTCAGTCTTCTGGAATGGGGGCTTAGGAGTGTAACCAGGTGTGCTCTGTCCTCCTGTAAAGGTACTCTGCTGATTATTGCTGTTGTAGCCTCTGTTCCATTGCTGCTTTCCAAACCTTTGGCTCTGAAAACCCCCTCCATTGATGAAATTAACATCTTTCTGCTCAAATTCTTCAGGATTTTTGAAACTCTCCACTTCTGCAGCAAATTGAACTGACTTCTTTCCCACGAGAAGGCTGTGCATGCTGTCTAACTTAGCCTTAACTTCAGCTAT